TAGCAGTGGAATTTACTGCGATGCAATGGGGCGCCACCTGAAATCTTGCCTAGGGCGCCAAATTGGTTAGGGCCGGGCCTGGGTGCTGGTAAACGAAGATTTGGAAGGAAGGGAGATTCAAGCCGTTCACAATATGGAATTCTTCTTGTTTTGCATGACAAAAGACATGCCTTAGGACAAGTAGCTACAAAGCGTTATTTTGATTTCAACTTGCATGCAGAACACATAGAGCATGTTTCAAAGTGTGTCGCTTATCGTTTTTATACACAGTTTGTCAGCAGGGCTACAGCGCTGCGTAAGTTTGGATTGGTGCACAAGGCTCCTCCTGCGCCATTTACATCCAGTCCAGAGTTCGCATTTCCTAGGGACTTCTGATTGAGCCTTCTCTCCCTTTAGATGGTCCCAGTGAACGTCACCAGTCAGGAACCACTGAAGCGGATCCCTCACCTGCAGAAAAAGACCGGAAGAAGCCGTGTCAAAGTTCACCGTTTAACTCCACAGCTGCAATGCATTTCCAAATAAAACACATACTTCGTCTGGCAGACTGCGCTTCTGTTCAGCGAACTCAGGGGGAAACTGTGGACTGTTTCAGCAGTACAACGAGGCGCAAGAGAACACGGAGCGCACGCATCTGCAGACACCAAGTATTTCGCCCTGCAGTTCTGCAAAAACTATGCATCCGAAGCTGCGTACAGAGGAGCCTTCGCCACAGCGAGGGACAACCCCGAGAAATTCTGGGGTGAAATGGGACAAGACATAAAGTGGTTTGAGCCATGGAGTAAAACTGTGCACATCGAGGATCCAGTGTTCCCAGACTGGTAGGTTTCACTCTAAAAGCGAACGACGCAGTAAGAAAACGATTCGCGATGTGGACCCAAACTCTGACACTAGAACAAACTGTGAACTTGAGAAAAACAACAACCATTTATGGCCCTTATTAATACATTCACTAAATCGCCCTGCAACAAAAAAGCTCATGACGTCAGTTATGATTATCACATCCAGGGAAGACTGGAGTTAAGGAAGTAACAGGTAGGCTTTGCATGACACCCGTGGTTTCACTTTAAGAGGCCCACTATCTCGTGGTTTCACTTTAAGAGGCCCACTATCTGCTGGTCTCACTTCACCTGATCACTGGTGCGGCGCTGTTTTGATTATTAGATCAGTCCAGTTGAAATTCCATGCTTTTTATCCAAGGAGATAAAGCACCAAAGACACAGGGCAAATTACGCAGACAAACCAGTCCTGTTCTGTTTGCTGTGTAAAAAGATGTTTGTTACACGTTTGATTGTAGTTGGACAAAAAACAACAAACTTTAAATGTAAGCTGCATACAAAATGAATCTTCAGATTTCTGTGGTGGTGAGTACAAGACCAACAGGGAGAAATAAGACCCAAGAAGAGAAATAAGTTCATCATTTATATAATTGGTCATATAAAAAGTTGTAGCAGGTATTATTACATTTGACAAAATAACCCTTCAAAATAGTTTAAAAGACTTTATATTTGGTGTTCAAGTAAATAACGGGATGTTTAAAACGTGGTTAAAAGTGTTTGTTTTTTTTTTTGTTGCTGCAAACACCACATTTACACTTGCCAGATGTTTTTGGAAGGCAAGATAAAAGATGCACCACACCTCCTTCCTGCACTGGGAATGATTATCTTAGGTGGGTGGGGTCGTCAGTTCCACCATCTAGCATGGTTAGGAAAGCCAAATCTGCCTGAACCTCTTGTTTAAACAGAGGATACTGCCAGTTTTTCTGGCTTTCAGAACAGCCAGACACCATCTGCTCAGCCTGCTTGCTGCGCTTTCCATAAAATGACTGTTGCCTTATCTTGTCCAGTGATTGGATGTGTGCAAAGGCATCTGCTTATGTTTTTCCTTGCTTTTGACTTCATCAAGTTGTGTTGCATGTTTGACTAAAAGGAAAGAAATCAAACAGCCAAAAACGCATAAGATGACAGAGTGCACGCAAGCAGGAAGTTGGGTTGACGGGCAGGTAGGTCATCCAGTGTTTTGCTTGGGACAAGTAAAATGATTGGTCAGGCTTTTTCAGTCCTGCTGCCACAAATGACAGATATTTCTCTTTATGTTGTCAGTGTATTTAATTCATTCATTGCCATTAGGACAAAAAGAGATCTTCAAGATATGCAATAAAAATGCTTCTGAAAAGAATCAGCAGCTCTACCTTTGAGAAACCTATAGTATGTGAAGTTGTGCATTTAAAAGCAGAAATGTTGTTCATACAGTATTTGATCTTGGTGCATGCTGGTTGATTATGTTTGCTTCTGTCAGGTTCGTTGGAGGGAAGTTGAACATGTGCTACAACGCCGTGGATCGTCATGTAGAGAGCGGCCGTGGAGAGCAGCCTGCAGTCATCTATGACAGCCCAGTGACTGGTACTAAACAGATCATCACTTTCAAGGAACTGCAGTACCAGGTAAGCCGAATTTTTACACCAGAAGTCACAGAACCTGATATCACAAGCATGGAGTTACTCTGTTAAAGCCTGATCTGGAAGATCTGGAATTATGATAATGTGTGGTTTAAAAAAAAAAAAAAGCATATGGTGAAACATGCACGTGATCCTTGGCTGGATTTTCAGCACTGAAAATACAATTTGGCAGTGTTGCAGCAACAGTAAATAAAGTAAGTATAATAAATAAAGTTTTTCTGCAGGATTGAGCTAGCATTAAAATGGTAGGGAAATGATTAACTTCACTGACATTTGGGCAGATGTTTCAGTACAGTCAAGAACCAGTTGGACTGTTTTGTAATTGAAATGCATTTTTAAATGAACAGCCTCAGTTTCTTTTTACTGGTCTTTGACCATTAATCAAAGGGGCAATTTAATTTAGCTTACAGAGCGTTCTTTGATTTGACAGTTTGTCTGACAAATTACTGCTGAAATTTAGAGTTTTCCCACATTATTAACCCAGAAAATGTGCACAAAATGCACAGTAAAGACCCAGATACACAATATATCTTTTTAGCATATTTGGGTTACTGGTATGTTTGTTATTGTAGTTTTCTAAAATGCGTTTTAAGCTGACCTTTGAAAGAGTGCAGTCTGGATTTAGTCAAAATGCTTGTTGATGTTCACTACTCTGCATTGTCTTCTCTCTGTGTCAATCCAGGTGTCCAGGTTAGCTGGAGTCCTGGTGAAGCATGGGGTACAGAAAGGAGACCTGGTGGTCATCTATATGCCCATGGTGCCCCAGGCCATGTTCACCATGCTCGCCTGCGCTCGGATCGGTGCCCCACACAGCCTCATCTTTGGCGGCTTTGCTTCCAAAGAGCTTTCTGTCCGCATCAATCATGCCAAGGTTAGAAAATCTTTTTATTCATGTTGTGGCTAAGATTTAGCTTTTTGCCAGTCAGGACCACAGGACTACATTGTATTTATTAATTCTGTGTCAACCCTCAATACCATGGCCCCTCATTAAACTGAGGACACACTCATTGCTTCTTTTATTTAATGATACAGGGCCCGGCTGCAACTAATAATTTTCTTGTCTAATTTTATTGCTTTGTTAATAATTCATTCATCCTGCAAACTATCTGAAACACTGAAAGCCAATGGTGTCTGAGGCTAACTTGCTTTTAAGCTCAGAATTAATCATTCACAGTGGAACGTGCTTTGCCTTTTTCCCCAAATACACACAATCAGACCAAGTTTATGGATGAACCTGACGCTTTGACAGGGAATGTTTCTGAAGAGAACAATCTCTGTTGACTGATGTGTTTACACAACCATAAATCTGAAGAAATGCAGCACTATTAAGTGTTTCCACCAGCTACTTGGTCAAGTGTTTAAAGAGACTGTTCATGCTAAATATTGCGGTCTGTGTTATTTTTCAATGAATAGTTAATAGAGTTCTCGTAGTGTATGTTCAAGGATTGGCACAGAAATTAATCTCCCTTTGTACTTCAGAAGTAAAGCAAATAGGAGCAAGTGAATGCTCCTTGTTCAGCCCTATGGAGAAAATGAACTACCCATGACTGTTTGTATATCTCTAATAGTAGTGCCCTATGAAGGCATGTTCCTCAAATATTACAATCTGAAAAGTGCCAGCTCATGCTGCTGATTTGATTTATTATGGAATTGATATTGCATGTTAAACAGGCTTATGAGAACTGATTTTCAGCTGACACTGGAGCGCTGCCACAAGCAAGACACTCTTGCTACTAATGTCCTCATGAAAATGCAGCAAAGCAGGTTTTCAGTTAACTGTGCTGGGAGCACTGGCAGCTGGTTCTAATATAGCCATAAAAAATAATAATGAAAGTTCTTGACATTTGAACACGATCTGATTTGATCCCCCCCCTTGATTTCCATTTTTTCCAGCCTAAGATGATGGTTACGGCCTCATTTGGCATCGAGCCAGGCAGAAGGGTAGCGTACATCCCACTGGTGGAGAAGGCCTTGGAGCTGAGCTCTCACCAACCCGCTAAAATTCTCATCTACAACAGGCCTAACATGGTAAGAACATCGACTATATAGAGTATTCACACCATGACAGCTCCCAGGAGTGAAGCCACTGCGACACAGTTGCTCCCTGATGCCTGGTTGCAATATGGGTCATAAACCCCTCCTCCTTCATGGTAGCGGATGGGACATGAGCCAAAACTCAAAGTACAAATCAGATACATTTTCCCCAGAGGTTACTTGTTTTAGGTGGATATTATCATGGATTGTCCATTCAATATGCCAGTGGGTAAGAAGCACAAAGGACTGTAAAGCTACATTTCACCAAGTGGTGTCATTTCTAAACTTGCTGGTTATGTGATCTGGCAGCTATATGTAAATCTAATCAGTTCAGTCATTGTATGGTGGCTGATGGGAGAGAAAGTTTTCCTAAGACTCAGGGCTTTTGTTATTTATTCATTAAACTGAATCTAAAGCATTGAATTTTAAAGGCTTGTTGCCTAGAATTGGCCATACATATATGAAAGTATTACAAATCCTGCCTTTGAATGATGAGGTGAAATGATATATACAGAAGCTGCTTCAAGTAGGCTGAAAAATATGTGTGCAGTTTGAAAGGAGTCTGAACAAGAATAATTACAAGGCACATTTATACATTAATATGGTGACAGCAAAGTGAAAAGGCACTGAAGTTGGAGGTTTGGGAAAATCATTTTTAAAATAGTTTGCACATTGATGCAGTTGTTCAATTTCACCCTCTTTATTTATTTATTCATTCATTCTCTATCTGCCACATCTAAGTTGGTTCAACTATCGCTATTGGCTATTCCATGGTTTTGTTGTGCTCTTGAACATTACATGAGTTATTTTAATCTGGTTTGGGCTGTACAGCCTTGTCTATCAGTGCTTTATCTGGTGAGTGAAGAGATAAATACACATGGTGTACCAGTGAATTTGGTGAGGTACTTTTCACAGGAAATTCATTGGAAAGTCAACCCCTTTAAAGTCACGTGGAGCACCACTTTGAAGGTTGTTCCAATTGATTTATTCATTTCTGGATTCAATAACCAAGTGGAACACAGCCTCCGACATGAATGCCTTTTTTAAATCAGCTAAGTCCTTCTCTGTCGTGGCTTTGGGTGAAGTGAGTAAAAGGCAAAGTATTTTAGATGGCTGGAGGTTTTGTGTGATGTCTGTACTTTGCCTCAAGAGTCTGTGTAATATTGGTGATGCCTCAGTATTGAGTCTTTTCTCTGAAGAGGAAAGAAATGATCATAGCTTTTCTTTAGCCTCCTGGGATGGTGACATTTAAGTATCAAAGAGATTCACAAAAGTTTGAAGTGAAACTGATGTCAGCAACAGAAGATGTAAGAGCCTTACACTGTGACCCCCACTGATTGCATATATAAAAGCTAGACAAACCCACCGTGACTTCACCCACTGGTTTTCTGAAGGGCGGTTTTGAAGTTTAAGTCTGGTTTCGCCATATTGGTAGTGCTTCACTCTGACTGCTAATCCAAAAATGGACAAAGAGGTGCAGCTGAGGTGGGCTGAATGGACAGAATGAAGCTAGCCACCAGTGGCACGACCTTCCCGTCTGTCACTCAGAGAAAACGCTCTCAGTATAATTTAAAAAAAA